AAAACGGCCCGGAAGGACCTAAAACGCGATAAAAAACCATCTCGCGATTTCAATGGAATCTAGCCCGCAGATTTGATAACGTTTTGACGGTTTATTCGCAGAAGGAAAATAAAGGCAAGTTTGAAGATAAATAGAAGATTTCCGCGGAAGAAAAGGAAGGATCGAGAAAAATGGAAGATTCCCGAAATGCTCAAATCCGGCAAAATGGAAAGATCGAACCGTTAAGGCAAGGAGTATATAAACCAGAGGCGTAGGGCAGAAGAGGAGGACGAAAATGAGACCTAAAAAGACGGCTGTTAGCTTAGGAGTTTAGGACTTAGCGTTTAGACTAGCAATTCAGATCCTTAGAACGTTTCGACGTATAAGTTCTTCAATTCTTCTTGTAACAGTTGTCGATTCTAATTCAATAAAAGCTTTCGCACAAGTTCTTAATCTCTGTTCTTCATTTGTTCATCCATATTCTTTTAAATTCGTTTGTTTTAGTGATTTTCGCAGAGATCCAGGACCTCGGGAAAATTAGGGTTTTATCCTAAGTTTCCATATTTGACGGAAAATCGACAGTGTGGATTTCAGTTCCCACAGGGTTTATGTGTTTCAAAGCTGATATTTTGGGTTGTGAATGAAAGATTATGAGAAAGGTGAACCAAATTGTGCCTTAAGGAAAGAAAGAAATCCACTAGGAACCAAACCAAATGAAGAAGAGCTCTAGATTATGTATTAAGGAACCCTTCCCATATATATATAAAAAAAACAAACAAACAAAGGAATAAGTTTGGGGGAGATGTGTAAAGAAGAAGAGTTAGAGTTACAAAGAAGAAAAGCTTGTGATGAGTCCCTAGTTGGTTGTGCTAAAAAAAAGAGAAGAATTTGTTCATTGGATGAGTGATGTGAGCAAAGGTTATTTGGGGTATGAGATGATGAAAGAAAGGGTTAGAACTTGAAATCACTTAGGAAAGGGTAGAATGATGAGAATAAGACTATGTATGCATCAGTTGCCTCTAGTCTTAGATAAATTTTGCATATTGATCAAGCTCATTGTTCTTGAGTGATAGCCACTAAAAATGATGCATCTGAACCATCCTTTCATTCTCATTAGACCTGTTGCTTGCCTAGCCAAATGATTGAGATTATGTGCCCATTTGTGAGACTTCACTTTGTGTGTGTGTGTGTGTGTGTGTGTGAACTAATGTGAGGGTGGTTTAAAGACTTGTAAATTGAAGAGTATTGCATCTTGTTAAAAAGGCATAAGAGTGTGTTGATAGGCCTAGAGAAGCTAGAGTGTGATAAGAGAGTGTGTTCATGCTATTTCGAATGTCTCTTTAGGATGATAAGTTGAGTTCTTAGATGTGTTTCTCTTGGTTATGAGTTCCCGCCTTCAAACCTCTCTTCCCATAAGTCCTTGAAAGATCACTTGAGGACAAGTAAAGGACAAGTTTGGGGGAGTTGATATGCTGCATATTTACTTAGTTTTAACCTTTCATTCTTATTCATGTTAAGCATATAGATTAGGTTTAGGCCTTTTAGGTTGCATATTGCATTCATTTGTCTTTATCAGGTCATGGAACTTGCTATGGAGTTCTTGGAGGTGTTTGAGATCAATTATGTGCTAAAAGAGAGCACAAAGGTGATATTTGGCGAGCCGGAGCAGCCACAGCGAGGTCAAGAGGCCGCTGCGACCAATACCAGCCGGAGCGGAGGTGACACAGCGGAGTCAAGGGTCGGTGTGCCTTGGAGCGGGGTCTCGGTAGCGGGTACCCAGCCCCGCTCGACTTTGAAGAAGAAAGAGAGCGATCACAGCGGGGGGTCGGCAGCGGGGGCATGACACCCCTGTGAGCTCCGGAGCGGGGTCTTGGCAGCGGTGTAGTGACCCCGCTGCGCGTCTTTTGTGTGCGAAAAACCTGTTTTATTTTGGGAAAACCTAAGTTAAGTACTCCGTAAGCCACCATTGGAGATCTATCTTTGTTCTTGAAGAGAATACTTGAAGACCTATTGGAAAGCTCATTTTTAAGATCATTGATTTCATTATTCATTGTTTGACTTGTCTATTTCATCATCTACATGATTAAACTTGAATCTAAAATGGGTTTAAGAGTAATCATGATGTGTAGTGAGTAAATCACCCTTGAATTCATGGGTTAGGGAGACTAAGGATGATTAGTCTAGAATTAGAGTGTTTAGTTTAGATTTCTCCTATTTGTTGCTTGTAGAGTGATCCTAATGCGTTTCTTGAGTTGGCCACTCAAAAGTTGATCTTTAGACATTTCCCACTCACAAAGTGTTCGATGAAATGTCTGAGTCAACTCTCCTAAGCTTTTAACATCCTTTACCATGGATACTTGTTGTTAAAGGTGTTAAGATGACTAATAGACTTGTTCTTAATGATTGCTTTCATGATATTCAACCAAAGAAGTTTGATGTTTGAATTGTGTTTGCAAATGAACATTCATCTAGACATAGAGCTTGTTTAGAATTGTGTCTAGGCCTAAGGTAGATAGTTTAATTGATCACTTGCCACTCTTAGTTCGAAAACTGATCATCCAAGGTCAAATTCCCTGTACCCATGGACTCTCCCGTCTCTTAATTGTTAAAGTTTATTCAGTCATCGCATTCTTTACTGCATTTCGATATTAGTTGTAATTCAAAAAGCAATCAACCACATGTTTGCACTTAGATTAAGCTAGTACTTGGATTCTCGGTGCTTTTACATCTCTCAGAACTGGTTCGACAATTTTTTTATACTACATCATTTGTCTTAGGAGCATTGAAAACTCCTAACATCAGTCCATATTCCTACGATTGCACCTGCAACTACCATAGCCACCGTCGCAATCTTTAGCTTCTATTTCATCTCCTGTGCAACTCTAGAAATCTCCAAGTTCACCTTATCATTGAGCTTTTCCGACATCTCATGTTCCACTCTAACCATCTCGGACTTCACCTTTTCCATAACAATTTTTTGAAACTTAGCAATCCCTTCAGCAACCATCTCATGTTTTGCATCCACCATCCGTATCTCGTCAATCAAAGCTTCATAAATCCATTTAAATAGATGATTCTCAGTTTTTCTCTATCGAAAAATAAACAAAATTTAAGTCAGTATTCTAAGTGATATTGAACTGCTTAATATGCACATCGAAATAAAAAAAGGACTTACATCTAATGCGATTTCGCATCGATAGAACGGTCGATACTTATTTTCCGCGGTTGATGAACCAAAAGTAGTTATGCCCTCGCCACACCAACTTCTTCTAGGGACACCATGAGTAGCGATACGAGGAAAACGAGCAGAAGATGTTGACGAAGTGGACATAGTGATTTTGTTTCTAGATTTCCACGATTTCGCAGAGAAAGAACCCTAATACATTTTTCTCTCTACTTTAGTTTTCTAACTTTTGGCAAATGAATAGACAATCACATGTTTGGGCGTGTCTAGATCCGGGTTTTGGGGTCGGGTTTTAAGAATTTTCGGGTGGGCCTAGTGGGTATAAACCTTAAATGGTTGTACTTTGATAACTCTTATAGTGGGTGCTAAATGACTACATTATAATACCTCAATGGAGAAGTCATATGAGAACTAAACGTGTTAACATTCTAAATTCTAAACTATAACTTAATATGTCTCATGTGGGTATCATTTGTATAACTTGAACTATAACTTAATACGTTAACATTCTAAATAGTAATCTTATTCACTCTTTATGTGATTTAGGGTATTGAATTTGAACCCAATCTAGTTAGTGTTTAGTGTGTTTTAGTGTTTAGTGTATTCATTCTTTATGTGATTTAGGGTTTATCTAATGAGCCCTATCTATTTTAAGGTTTAGGGAATGTCCCCTATCTATTTTAGGGTTTAGGGTATGTTTAGAACTATTTTAGGGTTTAGGGTATGTTTAGAACTATTTTAGGGTTTAGGGTATGAACCCTATCTATTTTAGGGTTTAGGGTATGAACCCTATCTATTTTAGGGTTTAGGGTATGAACCCTATCTATTTTAGGGTTTAGGGTATGAACCCTGTCAGTTTTAGTTCATGTAAGTACTTCAACAACAGTGAAATAGCAATGCAACAATTCCATAACAATAAGAGTAATGTAAAAATCAACATGTCAAATACAAAGAGGAAACAAATTAGAAATCTAAAACATCATCAAGCAACACCAACATATTAAAGTGAGATCTATAATTTTTCCTGGAGCATGCTTTGGAGAGGCTTGAATGTTGACATTCTGAACTGCAAGACCTCATCATTTGCTGCTTCCCAGAGATCGTATGCGATCTTGTGCCGGGCTTCTTGGATGTTCTCGTCGTGCATCAAAGAGAAATCGAAGCCAAGTACATGGCACTCTATGAACTTCAAAGCATATGCACCACAATCATTATTATTCTTGTTTAGGTCGCCGCACATAGGAACATATGAAACAGTATAAGGCTTCACATTGAAATCTTTCTTCCTTTCCGATGATTGAACACCCTTGACAATTCGTGGAATGAGGCTTGCGAATGCTTCCACCGTCCTCTTGTTTCTCAGACCCGCACAATCGAAGACCTCAATTGTCCGGTTCACAAGATTTACACACATAGAGATCCAGTGGTTTTGGTTGACAAAAGTCGGGACATAAAGACGATCAACATCAACATCCCATACTAAACCTGTTCTTCCATGATATGGAAGGTTACCTCTTCCATAATCGAGAAGAACTTCGTCGAGTTTGTACCCTCTCTTATTCCCCTGAAACTGCCCGTTCGCCACGATGATACTATTACTAAACGAACAGCTCATAAAAGCCACTCGGTCTGGCTTCCAACGACGCAACGTGGTCTTTTCTTGAAACAAATACATCATGGCGTCTATATCCTGAAAAGCACATTACATATGTATGAGCTAAACATACTTATTTTAGAAAGTAGCATTATCAGATGTAAACTTACAAAGTTCTTGAACCATTGACCAGGCCCAATTATACGTTTACATAACGTTCCATCAAAAATGGATGGCCCAATCTTAAGTCGACTGTAAAGAAGAAGCATTAGTGTTACAAGCAAGAATCTAGAAGAACAAAAACTTATGTACGTGGGATTCAAGGAACTACTTACG